CCTGCCACACCCCACATAAAGAAAAGAGTGTGATTTGTCCCCACCTGTAAGCAGTCTGGTTGGATCTCTCCTCCGTCTCTGGTGGTGCAGTAGTACAGTCTCTCTGAGCCTCTCAATTCTCAGACTGGGAGAGCGAGTGGAGCTGGAAGACCATCAGGACTGAGAGCGATACAAGAACCCCCTCTGTCAGGAGTGTAGACCCCTCTAGTGACCCTACTGTAGACCCGCTCACCTCCCACAGTGACGATAGCGTTTCCCTGAAGGTCCCTCACTGTGTAGCTCCCCTGATCAGACGCCCTCAGGTCCTTGCAGACGCATACAGGCGAAAAATAAAACCGTTCGCTTACATACGAAAGACCTCCGTCTTCATCGAAATCGTTCATCAGCTCAAATAAAAGCCGCTATAATTGGATTCGCGTTCAGATCACATTCAAACACACAACCGCTGCTCTCGTTTGTGTCGTGACTAATTACCCTTGAGTATCGTGCTTGTACTCTCATCTGGTATACAAAAATGCCCTTTTTAAAATTAAGAACAAGAACTTCCCGTTATACATAAACACGACAAAGTAATTAGATAATAACATGCCCTACATGTTCATTTACGGTTTAAATTAATTGAAATGCTCCGATTCAGAGCGTCCTGTAGTCCGTGCTAATTAGGACAGCAATGCTGAGCCCTTTGTGTATTAAGCACAAGTTCAGCTGGTCTCCAACTTGACTCCGCACGGTTTTTCGTAGCATTGAGCTCAGAGCTGTAGCTCTTCTCCAGACAGCAGCGTGCTCTCCGAGAGCTCGTTAGAACTGACCCACAGCGGTCAGTATGAAGTTTGCACTGTACACTGTCCATCACCCACACGCGGTACCTCTGCTTCCCACAGTTGTCCTTCCTCTTGACTTGAAATTTTCCACAAATAATTCGGTAGCCTGATACCCCCACTCTTCCTCTGAGCCAGCTGGTACCCCCAATTCCTACTGCTCGCCCCCGGCAGACACCCCAACACCTCCTGCTCTCATCAAGACAATCATTAGCTTAGTAATGAACAATTACAATAAACATCTAGTACACTGAATATCCAGTAAAAAAAGACTGTCAGGACAGAGATTGACTAGCAATTACAGCAAACGTATACAATAACCATTCAAGACAAACACTGGCTTAGTGTTGAACAATTATGGTGAACACCCAGTAGAGTCAAATCAGTAATGATTCAGGAAAGAAACTGTCTAGTTGAGCGATTAAACATCACAGTGAATAAGCAGTACAGAGGTTATCCATTACAGTGAATCTACGTTAAACACTACTGTAAATTTCCAGTAACTTTTCAGGAAAGAGACTGCAGAAGTGACAAACCATAATAGTAAATGAACAAGTAATAGGTTTATTCCATGCTGAAAAGAAGAAGGAAGCTCACCTCACCTGACCCTCCTCTCTAATTACATTCCCTCTTCTGGATCCGGCAGTCTTTTCAGGAGCACACCTATTAACTTAAAAAACAGGGATTTATCTGTACAGTGAATAACGGACAGCACGCTGAATACACCAAGCAGAGGTGATTACAGTGAACACCCAGTACAGTCATTATCAATACCCAGTACAGTGAATATTACAGTGAATACCCAGTACAGTGACTGGCCCATCAAAGTGAATACCCAGTGCAGCTATTATTACAGTGAATTGCTCAGTATAGTGACCATCAGTGAATATGGAGTTCAGTTATTATATTGAATACACACTGCAGCAATTATTACAGTGAACACCCAGTATAGTGACTGTCATAGTGAATATGGAGTTCAGTGATTATACTGAATACCCAGTACAGTGATTGTCCCTCAATGAAAACAGTTCAGTAATTAGTATATTGAATACCCAGTACAGTGATTATTATACTGAACACCCAGTATGGTGATTATTCCAGTGAACACACAGTACAGTCATTGTCCCTCATAATGAAAACAGAGTTAAGTGATTATTATACTGAATACCCAGTACAGTGTCTGTCCATCACACAGAATAAGCAGCACATTGAACAGCCAGTAATCTCCTATTACAGGGAACACTGGGTCGGTCTGAGCTCTGCTGCCCCCTGCAGAAGACTTGTCCTGAGGTCAGAGTAGACGGTGGTCTCGCCCTCCCTGGGGACGCCCTGTCCACTCTGGGGTCCTGCAGCTCCCTGCAGCCCCGCAGTGCAGGATCCAGTACAAAACAGCTCCTCAAACCTGGCTCTTCCTCCTGCTGTGAAGACGATGGCCTTGAGGTTCTCAATGCAGACTCTGGCTCAACTCACACCAGGAAGCTGAGTAACACCATCACCCAGCGACAGGGTCCTGATCCAAGACTCACCTCCCACAGCGAGTCCAGACCAGGACTGGGAGCAGATCGGTCAGGGGTGAGATCCACTTCAGACCTCTGCCGGCTCTCTTCCTGAAGAGCTTCCCGAGAACCTGCTGGAAGGCCCTTCTGAGACACCCGTCCACAAACGTGAACACAAGAGCCCACAGACACAGCCCCCCCCCCCCCCCCCCCCCACAGTCCTCCCCAACCCCCCGCCTGCATGTGCACCCCCATCCATCACTAGAACCCCAACCTGCCCCGGTCACTTCACATTCGCCATCTCACACCGATGTCTCGCCAAATAACCAACATTCATGCAAAACTCCACCTGATGTACAGAAAACGCTGGTTCTGACTGAAGCAACCTTATTAGCAAATACACCCTAATGGATTTTAAATGATCAAATTCCCCCCTGAAGTAAGAAGAAACAGCACACATCTACAGTCTGGGTGTTGATTTAGAAGATCAGCCTGTAAAACAAACCTGACAGGACTCAGTTTCCAGGGAAAAGCTGTGGAGTGAAAATGACTCAAGACCGAGAAACAGAACCGAGAACAGTCCCTCTGTCTCAGCTACACTCTCATGTTCATGTGTATCAGCAAAATTTGTTGTTTTGAGGGTGTCATGTAGCTGCCTCTGCATAAGTGTATTTATTTTGTTTAACAATGAAAGGATTTACAAATACCACACAAAATCTATTGCTTTCATCTTTCGGTTGTTTTTATATAATGAACTATTTACATTATGCCAGCACAGATAACACAAACACGGTCTTTCAAAGAAATAATGTCAGAGACCTGTTTTATTGATTACTTCAAGAGCAGCTGTGTGTATCTTTTGCTATTTAATGCCGTAAACAAATATAATTTTCTATTATAAACTCATGGGATATTTGTGTGGGTCACTATTATATCCAGGGTTGTAAATGGCATTCGACAACAAAAAAAATACTTTCTTTGTAGCATTTAATGAGCGCTGAACAGTAGTGTTAAAGCATTGGTTTATCACATAAAAACTAAAAAACGGAACCAAAAAATGGATTTTGTGTATAAAACTCACTCGAGCTGAAATATCAAAATCGGCACATCCCTATTAAGACTTAAACAATATCAAGAAGTACAGACGCACACTGTTGGGTCTTTAACTTGATAGAGCCCATAACAGACATATCGGACTACACGTGTGTCATTTGCTTACGACGCGACACGTCTCAGTTCCCCAAACATTTTGTAATCGTTTCTCAGAATAACACGCATGCCTCTAAACACGAACATTAAGTTTGTTTTCAAAGCAATCAAACTATATTTCCGAATAAACGAGTTACAACAAAACCACTTCAGCCAGAAACGGGCAAATAAGATACATTTTAACCCGCAAAAGCAAAACACAGCACCACGGACTATATATCCCAAAACGCAAGACAGCCTAAGCTTTCCAGAACTGTGTTTTGTAACCAGATACATCAACATGAAGCAAACGAACCTCTTTTTCATGTAAATATTTACCACGCGTTTCAGTTTAAAATACGCCAAAGCATATCGCTAATTCATCAGCTTTCCAGTAAAACGCAACCGCAAAAGCGAAGGTTCGCTAAATCGCATAAAAACTCTTTCCCTTGCCTTGGAAAAACACGTTTTTTCTTGCGATAAAGGTAAAACACCTGTTTGCTCCAACACACATTACAGACAAAACGACGCCAAACCCCCCTCCCAGCAGTTCAAATAGCCCGGCTGTGGCATCAGCTCCTCTAATAGGTGGAAACCTCTGTCACTCACAGACTTCGGACCAATCAGAGACTGGTCTCCACAGCGCGCCCGCCCGCTTTGTTTTTCCAACCTGTTTCTCATTAAGAACTCAGCTCAGTCCACGGTCATCTGCACAAGCGCAATGCGTGTAGGCTGCAGGACAGAGATATTGAGGCAACACCAAAAACATTAACACACAACAGCAGCAGCAACAACGAGTTTAATAACACACATCTTTAAAAAAGAGAGCATCAGTCTGATCTAGAGTTCAGAACTTGAGTCACTTGGGAGAAAACACAGAAAAGTGCAAGTAAAAAAAAAGTTAAAATCGCTTCTTTTAAATAGTAAAAAATTAAATAAGTCTCTGTAGGACCAGCAGTAGTGAGATACAACATCAAAATAATACATCAATTAGATGTGGAGTCACACTCTCCAGGTGTGACAGTGCTGTCAGACTCCCAGTGCGCAGCAGTCTGATCCACTCCAGGTGTGACAGTGCTGTCAGTCAGACTCCCAGTGCGCAGCAGTCTGATCCGCTCC